GAAATGAAAACCTTTTCATTTATTCTGCTTTTTCTTTATTTTCTTTTTCTTTTTTCTTTCCTTCTCATATTTGAAGATAGAATAGAGAGAGAATTCCTCTTTCTCCAAAGGAGGATAACTCTGTTTTTGTTTTGCGAACCCATAAGCTTTCCAGTTGATTTCCCAGGGAAGAAGGTGCTAGGGAGCAGACCTCTTTGCAGCCTCCCAGCCAGACAGCACCACAAAAGGCATTATTACACATCCCAAATAAGGAGGGCTGTCTATATATTTACAGATCTGTTCAAATATTTAACCTCTTAACTTGCTAAATATCCCCCTCTTCTTTCTTTCTCTCTTGCAGTCTCCCCTCTCCCCCCTTTTGGCCCTCTCTCCCCTCCTATTCCTTTCTCTTTCTAAAATAGTAGGGATGGAAAGTGCCTTTTTGGAATCCAAAATGTGGCCAGGGGCATTGGGCTTTACCTGACTCCATTTGAATGTCAATTTCGTTTCCAGGCAATTCCTTCCCCCCCCCCCACCCCTTCCAGCTAAAGAATCAAGTTTGAATCACCAGAGTTACCTTTTTAAAAGTACAAGATTTGGTGTTGCCCCCTCAGTTTTTAAACTGCTTTGGCAAAGCATCCACTGAAGCAGAGGGATTTCCCTTTAGAACTTTCTAGTCCCCCCAATCAGTGATGTTTTCTTCTGCATTGAATTTCCTGCTCCTCAAGGGACTAGTAGAGGAACAAATTTATAGGGGTTAACCTTCCAAAGAGAGAGTTTCAGCAGTGTTTGTCAACCCAACCAAGGCCAGCAGTGAGGCACACGTCTATTACAGGGACCAAGTTGGAATGCAATCACTGTGAATTTCTTACTGCCGGAATCTTTGTGGGGCTAATAAAGTCATTCTGAGGGCCAGTGTAGGATATGAAGCTAGATAGCAATGGACCTTTAATGAAGCAGAAGTGTTAGATTTCCCAAAAATTGAGGTGTCTTTATTGGATTCATAAAGGGGGAAATAAAAGTTGTGCCTAGGCACAGCAGAAAGTTGCTGTTGACCCTCTACCTCCAAAGGCACTGTCCATGCCCTACCCTGAAGGCAGGTACTCTGGATGGGTTTGGGTACTTCCAACTCACTCAGGATTCTGCTCTGACACAGCTTAAAGTGGCCTTAAAGGGGCTTTCCATGTCATTCTTGAATTTTTTTCGTAAGGAAAAGAATTAACAAGAAAAACCCGATGACTCTAAAGTTGACTGCAGAAAGTGAAACATACTCTTGGCAGATTTCCTCTGGCCTAAAATAATATTTATGTATTTGTTGGTTTATTTCTGGGTAGTGAAAAAAATTAAACAGTACTTTGACAAGACAATTAGTTCAGTCGTTCATTTATTTCAGCCTTCACTTTCAAGTGTCTCTTAGCATCTGAGGTACCCCACCCGGGAGCCGACAGAACGCACCTTAGAAGAAAACAGTTCACTTCAAATGCTTTGCCTCAGCAAACTCAGTTTGGGGTTGCATCTCTCACTTTTCCAAGAACCCTGGCCCCGGGGTGTCCTCCAGTTGCTGATTCTTCGGAGTTCCTGAACACACCAGTTTGCGTAGTAATGACCTTTGCTTACTGCTCCTGTTGGGGGCTGGCATCGCTCACCAGGGAAGCTGAGGGACGACCGAATCTTGAATCTTGGGTAAGGAGAAAGAGGTAATGTTTTAAAGGAGGCTTACTGAAAACTTTTACAATTGGCAGATATGAGAAGGAAGAAGGCTAGGTAAGTTTCAAAACAATGACCTCCCCCCCCCCCCAAAAAAAAAAGTATGCTTATTTTTTGTGTCCTGGTAGATCTGGGATAAAAACATGGGCGCTGGATTATTATGAGGTGCATTCTATAAAATGCCATCCGTTTGCATGACTGAATGATTGTCAGGACACCCCACACACATACCACCCATTGCACAAACCTCCTAAGAAAACTGCGGGCTGTTTATGAGTTTTCTAGTTTTTCCTGATCAGAAATGATATTCATCCAGAGACATTATCTAAATCCGTGGAAGAATGAAGGCTGCTTGTCATGCGTCCTTCGTTTCCAGTAATGTGTGCCACCCAATTAGAAGCAATTTAGGCAATCAAGACTGTATGAGAGAAGGGAACGTTAAAAATAGGTTTTCTATAGCCTCAGAACTCTAATTCGGAAGAACATCTAAAATTACATATGTTTCGTTTCTTTATGTAAAGTAAATATACAATGAGTGTCTCCTGTTCGCTCTTTTTTCCTCCATGGTTCCTCTCCCATTGCCTGTCTTTTGAGAATTCATAACAGAAGTGAAGTGTAAAGTTCACATAAAAAGAGACTAAGGTTGTTAAGAAGTCTGAGACAAAATAAAGGAAAAGAAAGAGAGAGAGAGGGGGGGGGGGGGGATTTGGGTAGGGCTTGGGACAGCCTTTCCCCGGTTTCTCGCTGTCGGTGATAGTGGTTATCTGACTTTCATCCGCGGTAGCCAGGAAAGTCCCAAGAGTAGAGCCCAGAGATGGGAGGGAGTCCATTACCGGAATCCAGTCGTTTGACCCCGAGGCCCCGTGCAAGTCAGGATAACTACAGAGCACTCGAGTTCATTTGGAGGGTTAGGAATGCAGAAAAAGAGTGAGAAGGATGTATGAGGGGAAAGGGGTAAGTAAAAGCAGAAACATGTTTCCAAACGTAATGGGGAAAGTACAAATTAAAACAATATATATATACTCAAGAGTACAGCAGAAGTGAGGATGCAGAATTCGGGCATGTCACTTGTCACCCATTTCCTTCCTTCCCCAGGGTGAATTCCAGGTGTGTCAAAATTCGGACCTGTGGCCAAGTGGCCGACTTCATCTCCTCTTCTCCTTCATCTCCTGTCTCTCTCTCCCAGCCTTGAGGTTTTGAGAGGCGATTTCATTCTCCCGAACTCTCAAAGAGTGCTGTAGAGTGCGGGTCGGAAAACTAAGGAGAGTGAAGTTGGCAGAACTTCCGGAAGTGCAGGGCCAGTGCCTGCACTTTCTGCTGGCACGGGAGTCGGAGTCTGGTCCTGAGCCTTTGATCCCTCTAGCCGTAGGTCCAAGTTCTCTGCACGTAAGTTTTGCTCAAAGTCAAATGCCTAGACCCTGAACCCTGAAATTCTTGGCGGGGTATTGCAGGACAGAGAGGAGTTGTAAGCTGAGCGGAGTTCTGGGCCCGGAGTGGCAGAGTGCACCCAGGCAGGCAGGAAGCCGCCCCCGCGCTCCGCCAGCGATCCTGCTGTCTCCGGGGTGCTGGAAACCTCCAGAGTGGAAAGTACTCTCTTGGCAGTAACCCTTTTCCAGAACCCAGTCTTCCTGATGGAGTTTGAGGTCAAAACAAAATTCCCTTCCCAAAGCTTATAATGATCGAGGATGAGTGCAAAAGTGGGGACTTATCTAAGACGTGCCACTGATGTTTTAAAACAAAAGAGGTTCCAGAGGAGGCAGCAATGCCTCAGTTGGGACAAGGTGAGGACCTGTGTCTGAGTTTCTGAGAGTGTGGGGGCCCACTCCATCCCCAAGTGATTCTTCACCGAAGTGTCTCCTGTGTAATAGCACCTAATTTATTACCTATGTATTCTGCTTGTTTGTATCTGATTTATGAACTAAAACCATTTGGTTATTAACAAATTTATCAATTCAAAAATATTTCCATTTTTAAAAGTAATCTTCCCTGTAATGTTGAAATATCTTCTTGAATTTAACACTTCAAAAAAACTGGCTTCCAAAATATTTTGAAAAATTAAATATGTATTTTTACACAACTGAGTTAGAAATAGGTGACATTTTAAAATATATATGTTAAGAATATGCTAAAGAGGTTTTCTGGTTTGATGATTAATATAGATAAGCATTTCTGAATTCAATATCTCTTTATTTCATAATGTCCTAGTATAATGGGGTACAAATCAGAATAGATATTGACAAGCTATGTACCCTTCTGAAAGTTAAATTTGTCCTTTAAATTTCTATTGTCATGCAGAAGCTCCAAAGTTTAGTATAAATATGAACATTCATACAACATAATATGTTCTTACTCTGTTACTAAAGTTGTCCAGGGAATCTTAAGTTTTTTATCCTTCATAGGTCTCAGTTTTGTAAATTTAAGAACTTGAACAAAGTATTCTACAGTTCAAAAGTTATAGACTTTTTGGAATATTTTATTTCAATGTATTTTGCAGTTACATAAAATTAAAAGGCAATAATAATATAAAGACTTTCTTATTATTTTATGTAATTAGCATCAATAATATTCTGTGCTTTAGCCATCTACAATGATTCCCTAATCAGATCCATCATCCCTAACAGACTTTGAGTTCATAAATATACATTATATATTAAAAAGAATATTGTGTCTCTGCGTATATATCTCATTTTATATAAAGGTGCTCCTATCTTTCACTAGAATCTTAGTGAGATTCTCAACTAAAAACATTTAAGAACCATTGTTTTATACTTGAAAAAATCACAAGAAAGAACCCAGCCACCATCAATGCACTTGCACTTTGTATAAAAGTAATGATTTTTCTAGATACCTTGGAATGCACAATATTTGAAAATCACTAAGCTAAAAGGAAAGAGGTTCTTATCCTGAGTTTTCCTCTAAATAATTAGTGACCTTGAGAAAGAAACCTTATTTCTCCAGTCCTCAATTCACTCTTACAATAAAGAAATAGAATCAGATGAGCTCCAGAAGTCCCTCTGATCCTAGGAGTTCATGAAGTTTTGCATACCGTGCGGTGTCATGTTTGATGGGCAAACATCATAAGCCCATAATTCAGGCAAGAATCCTCAACCTCAGCTTCACTTCTTTGTGATCTTTATTTTGCACCTTACTATAGTTTTTCCTTTACATGGATAAAAAGGTTGATTCTTCAAGTTATTTAAGGGCACCAAATCCTACATGAACTTCTCCAGTGCTGAAAGCATAGCACTGGTTTTAGTTCTAAGAAATGAGTTTCTCAGGAATGGTGTTATCTGTAAGAATTTTATGCCCCTATAAAGAGTTTTAAATTTTTCCTGCAGTTACTGAAGTTGGTAAATTAATACCTTTGATAATTTTATAACTTTTTCTGAATACAGCTGGTTCATTTCAGCAATTTTAAGACTTAAGAACTATGCAGAAAATACTCTGTCAGATAGTGTCCTTGAAGTTGTCTTTTCTCCAATAACAAAGAATCATTTCTTACTTCCTCACACCCACCAACCTACTATATTCCCAATACCCAGGCCCCACATAGGGTCCATTCTTTCAGATTGACCCTGAGCTTATTTACACTGAGCAACAGTTTCAGGAGTCATCAGCAGCAGATTACAATGAACATTTTCTTTTTTCAGTTCAGGCCAAACTCTATGAAATTAATTTCCATTTCAATAATCACAAGACTTCCCTTGGAAATATCATTGACTGCACAAGCCATAGACAGATCAAGTGTAGGTGCTCCATCATCTGAATGGGGTAGGGTTATGTTTTCAATTGGAACAAGGTATTAAGTGATTAAACTGTGCCAGCAGACATAGCACTTTTATGAAGACCTTTTCTATCCAAGTAGGCACAAGGATAGTCAATCCCTGCCCCTGAAAGTCTCTAAGGAGAACTTGGAATGCTTTAGGAAATCATGTTTGCAATTAAAGCACTGGTATTTTTCTTCCCATCACAGAATGAAAGCTGAATCCTAGTTTCAAAACTTCACTTTTTATTATTATTATTATTTCAGTAAGCTGCTTAAGATCCTCTTGCATTCATTGACAGGATTTGGGGTCCATTCTGCTTTACTAGTCCACAACAATTTAATTATTGAATGTTAGCAAATTACAAGTGACTTAGCAGAGGCACATTCAGAATTCCAGATGCCATTATCTTAATATCTACTATAGTTAACAGTCACACAAGTCAGAAGATCAAACACCAATTTGGGCACCATATTTTGCTTACTTTTTTGCAAATGTAGTAGAAGACTGGTGGGTTATTATCTTATCCAATCAGCACACCTGGCACATGGCTGATAAAAGGAGTAAATTAACAAATGAATGAATAAACATGCAAGGTATTCAATGTCTATTTGACTATTTGGACCTGTGGGAGAAATGGTAGCTTTTTAATAATTATTAGCATGGGGGTCCCCTATAATACATGCTCTTAAATACAAAATACAAAATAAGCACAATTTATTTTTTAGTAAAATACTAAAAACATGCAACAAATCTAGAATAAAACTCCTAAGCAATTCATTATTATAAATTTTTTTTTCAAAGTCTTCTGACTGAGGGAAGTGGAGGAAATAAAAACCAACTTACTTTGCAGGCCAGGAGGTTACAGTGTCACGTGCTGTTTTATTGCTTTGTATAGATTATTTATTCAATACCCCAGGAGAGTCCTCTGAGGCATGGGCTATAATGACCAGTTTACAGGTGAAGACACCAATGCCCAGAGAGGTCAACTCCTTTCTCAATATCATATGATATTGATGACTGGTATATGGTAGAGGCAAGATTCAAATGGAGGCAGCCTAGTTCCAGAAACAGAGCTCTTAGCCATTAGGTAGTACTTCACACAGAACGGTGTTAAATTTATGCTAACATAATTTGTTGCAAGTATAAGAATATGAAATTAAAGAATAATTCAGATGAAAACTAGTCCTCTAAATTCCAATGCACTGATTGTACTAGTAAAGCTTTAAAACCACTTTTGGCTTCAAGTCTTGTCCACCTAATTATTGTTATTTCATTGTTACTGAGCTTCAAAAATATGCTAAATATTATCTTGTTATTGCTGAAAGTTAACAAAAAACATAAAGTCTTCTCTACTCTTTTGATGACTTCAACATTTAATTAACTTGGCCATTAACTCTCATTAAAGTGAATATCAACCCTAGGACTATTTTTTTTTACCTATTACATGTAAAATTAATCAGAATATCTGTTAGATGGAAATGCTTAATGGAAATCTTCGTAATAGAAGGTGTTCAATAAATGTTTGTCCAATTAAGAAATGAACAAATTATTTACATACATCTAACAGAAAGGTATCTGCTGGAAAAATGAATTGCTTGCCTGTCTTTTTCCCCTGCAATCACATTTGGAATTGCATTCAGCTATCATTTGAGAAGATGTATTTTCTTTATGTCTGTGTAACAATATAAGTATTAAACATTCTACAAGTTAATTAGATAAAGATGAAGAAAATAACTCTTCATTTGGTTTAGGACACTAATGGGAAAAATCTAATGGGAGAAAAATCTATGAGTTCTGAATATAACTACAGTCTTAGCTTCTCACTCTGCGAAGAAACCCCACTTCATAAAGAAGATTCAGAGAATTAATAAGAACAATGTTGGTAGCATTCAGAACTTCCAAAGCAGTGGTAAGTTAAAAGGAAAGTCAAAATTTTTTAAATTGTAGCAAATTACTAAGGGAAACTGAAAAAATAAATTATCTGACTTTAAAGGAAGAGTGTAGAAAAAAACAAAATTAGAAGTACTACATTAATCCATCTGTACACTAAAAGGTTAGATTTTATTGTATATAAATTATACTTTAATAAACTAGACTGATAAAAAAAGAATAATTCAGGAAATTAGCAAGTGCTTCCAAGAATCCAAAGTGTATACTTGTATTGCAAATAGCTACAGGGAAAAAAAAGGGGGGGTAACATGGCATGGGATGTGGAGTTAGTTGAGCTGGGTTCACCTCCTTAACTCTGCAAAATTATTGACTGGGAGAACTCAAGCAAGTTACCTAGCCTCTCTGACCCCCCAATTTTTCAACTGCACATTGGTGGTAAATATTCTATGGAATTATAACTCTTAAATATAATGAATACAAAGTAAAGTAATAGACATATAAGTAAATCAAAATATGAGAATAATTATATGGAATATAGGTTATAGCACTAAATTGCATCCTAATTGCTACCTTAGACAAAATTGGTTCTATTTTGAAAATTGAAAGTCCAATATTCAGTTAGGTTAGGCTGTCGTTAGCTGCTTCCATAACACCCCCACTTCAGATTTTCCCAATCTGATATTTTCAGAGAATTGTCTATTACTTTTATTTAATACGAAACCAGTTACATTCTTTTGTATTTCAGAGGTAAATTTAGGAACAATCTTCCTGATTTCACAGAAAGTACTATCTTGGAGGAATTAAAAAAGTCTCATCT